CCTCCTCCTTTTTGCTGAGGAAGACTGGCTCCAGGCTAACATCTGTGCCCATCTTCCTCTACTTTATATGGGATGCCACCACAGCATGGCTTAACAAGTGGTGCATCTGTGCGCACCCGGGATCCGAACTGGTGAACCCCGGGCCGCAGCAGCGGAGCGCAAGCACTTATTTAACTGCTTGCACCGCCGGGCAGGCCCCTTATTAATTTATTTTTTATTCCAATTTGTTATGGGCTGAATTGTGTCCCACCAAAATTCATATGTTGAAGACTTAAACCCTGTATCTCAGAATTTGACCGTATTTGGAGATAAAACCTTTATTGAGGCAATTAAGTAAAAATGGAATCATTAGGTGGGCCCTAATCCAATATGGTTGGTATTATTATAAGGATAGGAAATTAGGACACAGAGAGAGATACCAGCTGTGTACACAGACCCAACAATGGCCTTGTGACGACATAGCAAGAAGGTGGCCATCTGCAAGCCAAGGAGAAGTCGCAGAAGAAACCAAACCTGCCAGTCCTTTGATTTGGGCCTTCTAGGCTCCAGAGCTCAGAAAATACATTTCTGTTGTTTAACCCACCCAGTCGGGGGTATTTTTTTATGACAGCACCAGCAAACTGATATATCCTTCATCTTTATTTCTATACCCAGTCCCCTCTGCCACCACCTCTGCCACCAGGTTACCATCCCAATGTATTTACTGTGAATCTGTTCGTTGTGTCCTTAGAAAATGTACATTACTGTTGTGTGTGCATGCGTTTATACTTTACACAAATGTCATTGTGTCATATATCTAAAATTCCAGCTTTAAATTTAAGGTCTACAGGGGGAAATTTTCTGACAAAAATAACTATTATTGCAAAGAGGACTTAATCTCCAAAAAAGAGAATTGTCCCGGGGCAATTTCATTTCTCCATAATTCTATTAGCCATCACATGCATAAGCAATATATCTATAGTATTCGGTGTTTAAAGAATTTATTTGTTACAGGATATTTAACGACATGACACAAGAGCTTTATTTTTAAGTGCTGTATTTGACTCTTCTCTAGTAGCTCTTCTACCTTTTTTCACCTGAAATACAATGAGAAAGGAAAGAGTAAAATAATAATTTCATTACCTGAAAATTGTTTTTTGGAGATCCATTCTCCTTTTAACATACGTTAAAATTGAACCACCACATTCTAGAAATAATGACTATGCTCATTGTATTCTTTGAAGAAAAAGTGGGGAAAAAAAACAACAGAGAAAGCAGCATAATAAAAATACTATTTATAGATAGAGTCTGTTCTAATTTCACTGCTAGACCATTGGTTTCTAACTCTTCAACATTGCATTTTGCAACAATGAACCTCTGAATGCAAATGAGTTACTTTGACAGACACACTTTAATCACTGTGCCCCTTAGCTGTCATGGAGTTGCATTGACTCCAATAATGTAGGCCCCGACTGTATCAAAGACTCAAGCAGCCTCTGGTTGAACTCCTAGAGGGAGATCTTGTTGAGGAACCAACCCCAAGTTGCCTCCTCCCCAAGGATTTAGAGGGCAATTTGTGGATCCTAGAATCACCTGTGATGCCCTTTAGGTCTCAAGGTTTATAGAACCCATCAGCTCTCATTGCCACAGCCACATATTGATTCTCCCTAAGAACCTGAAGCAGAGTCTCCATTACAGGTGGGTAGAGAATATTTATCTTATTTTTGTACAATGGGCTTTAAAAGATCCAAAACTGTATTCAAAATGGGCCGCTTCACTTACATTTTGGAAGGCACTGGGCATTATATACAATCAAAGAATACAATGCTTCAACTGAGGTTTGTTTCCAAGATTTATAACAGTTTTGGGGAACAAAGGATGCCAAATATGGTCCAGATTTATGTTTCTAAATTAGAACTTGGCATCATTACATCTTATGTACTTAAATTATATCACTACTGAAACAATGGATTTTTACTCACTGAGATCTTTTATATCATAGTTTTACTTCCGTAATATTAGCTGAAATGAAAATGGGATGTTTCACAGGATAACCTGTGAAAGAAAACTGGATACACAACTTCCAAAACTCCAAGAGATGCTCCTTTTGAAAGTATAACTATAGATTCCAAATTTGCTCAGGAAAATTTTCCGTTAACTCTGATGACATACAGGCAAAATATATATGTATAGATAGATAGATAGATAGATAGATAGATAGATAGATAGATAGAGATAGAGATATATATACATAATATGTAATAAATGCAATAATGGAATATGTTTAGATACATCATCTTTCTTATA